TTTATTTCTTTTCCAATTCTCTGCTCTAAAAATAAATTAATATTGAAAAAAAAAAAATCACTCAAATCATTCATTCAGTCCCTGGATATTCCAATTTTTAATTTTTTTTTAAAATATTTTAAATTTTTTTTTAATTTTTAATTTTTTTATCTTTTAAAAAGAAATTAAAATTATTTTTATTTTTAATTTTTTTATTCTTTTAATCTCTTTAAAAATTTTTTTTTAATTTTTTAAAAATGATTTTGATTTTGTAAAAATTTTTAAAGTTTTTAATTTTTTTAGTTTTTTAAAGTTTTTTTAAAATCTTTTTTATTTTTTATTATTTTAGAATTTTTTGTTTTTTAATCTTATTTTTAAAATTATTACAATTTTTAAATTTTTTAATTTTCTTATTTTTTTAGATTTTTAATTTTTTAAAATTATTTTTATTTTAAGTTTTTTTTATTCTTTCAATCTCTTTTTAAAATTTTTAAAATTTTTATCTTTAAAAAATTTTATTATTTTTATTTTATTTTTTTTTATTTTTTAATCCTTTTTTTAGATTTTTAAATTTTAAATTTTTTAGTTTCTTATTTTTTAAATTGTAAAAATTTTATTTTTAATTTTAAAATTTTTAAAATTCTTTTAATCTCTTCTTAAAATTTTTAATTTTTTAATCTTTTTCATTTTTATTATTTTCACTTTTTCAATTTTATTTTTTTAATATTTAAAATTTTTTTCAATTTTTAATTTTTTTTCCAATTTTTAAAAAAATCTTTTTAAAATTTTCTATTATTTTTATTTTTTAATTTTTTCAATTTAAAATTCAAAGGCTCAGAGTGACGTCACGATTGAAAATCAAATTTTTTTTTTTTTTCCCCAATAAAATTCAGATTTTTGGGACCAGAGAGAGGAAAATGAGGAGGGGAGGAGGAAATAAATAAATAGAGAAATAAAATAAAATAAAATAAAATAAAATAAAATAAAATAAAATAAAAGACAAAATGAGATAAAATAAAATAAAAATAAATATAAGAAAATAAATTAAATTAAAATAAAATAAAAAACAAATTTTAAAAAATAAAATAAAAAAAAAAATAAATAAAATAAAATAAATTAAAAAAGAAAACAAAATAAAAAATAAAACAAAATAAAGTTATAAAAAATAGCGTAAAAAATAAAATAAAATAAATGCATAAAAAAATTAAATTTTTAAAATAACATAAAATAAAGTTAAAAATAAAATGAAAGAAAATAAATAAATCAATAAAGTAAAAAAAATAAAAAATAAAAATAAAATAAAATAAAATAAAATAAAATGAAAACATTTAAAAAATTAAAAATTAAATTAAAATTTTAAAATAACATAAAATAAAATTTAAAAATAAAATAAAATAAAATAATTAAAAGAAAATAAGAAAGAAAGTAAAATTCAATAAATAAAAAAAAATAAAAATAAAATAAAACGAAAAAATAAAAAATAATAACAAAAATCGAATAAATTAATGAAAAAAATAAAATACAATAAAAAATAATTAAAAAACCAAAATAAAAAAAGTGAAATAAATTACAATACAATAAAAGAAATCCAATCCAATCCAATCCAATCCAATCCAATCAATACAATAAAATACAATACAATAAAGTAAAATAAAAAAAAATCCAATGCAATCCAATGCAATCTAATAAATCCAATCCAATCCAATAAAATGCAATGAAATGCAATAAAATAAAATAAAATAAAATAAAACGAAATAAAATAAAATGAAATAAAATAAATTAAAATAAAATGAAATAAAATTTAAAAAATGCAATAAAATAAAATAAAACGAAATAAAATAAAATAAAATAAAATGAAATGAAACGAAATAAAATAAAATGAAATAAAACGAAATAAAATAAAATAAAATAAAATAAAATAAAATGAAATAAAATAAAATAAAATAAAACGAAATAAAATAAAATGAAATAAAACGAAATAAAATGCAGTAAAATAAAATAAAATAAAATGAAACGAAATAAAATAAAATAAAATGAAATAAAACGAAATAAAATGCAATAAAATAAAATAAAATAAAATGAAATAAAACGAAATAAAATAAAATAAAATAAAATAAAATAAAATAAAATGAAACGAAATAAAATAAAATAAAATAAAACAAAACAAAACAAAATAAAATAAAATGCAATAAAATGCAATAAATTAAAATAAAATAAAATAAAATGAAATAAAATAAAATGAATTAAACTAAAATGAGTGCGGGGCTCACCTGGGGGTAGGGGAACCTCCCGAGCGCGAGCTGGGAAAACAAAACCAGAAAACACAAAGGGATGAGAGAGAAACAACAACAACAACACCATGGAAATGAAAATAAAATAACATGAAATTAAAAATAAAATCAAATCAAATAACATGAAATTAAAAATAAAATAAAATAAAATAACATGAAATTAAAAATAAAATCAAATAACGTAACATAAAATAACATCACATGAAATTAAAAATAAAATCAAATAACGTAACATAAAATAACAGCACTACAGCACTGAAAATCAAACCGAATTTAAATAAAATAAAATGAAAAAGATGCCAAAACGAAATGAAATCAAATAAAAACAAAATGAAAGGAAATGAATAAAAAAGGAAATGAAATTTAAAAAAAAAAATGAAATGAAATAAATGAAACAAATGAAATGAAATGAAATAAATAAAATGAAGTCATTTAAACTGAATTTAACTGAATTTAACTGAATTTAAATGAATTAAACTGAATTAAACGGAATTAAACTGAATTAGACTGAATTTAAACCAAATTAAACTGAATTTAACTGATTTAAACTCAATTTAACGGAATTTAAACTGAAATTAAACTGATTTAAACTGAATTAAACGGAATTTAAACGAATTTAAACTGAATTTAAACCGAATTAAACTGATTTAAACTGAATTTAAACGAATTAAACCGAATTAAACCGAATTAAACGGAATTAAACTGAATTTAATCGAATTAAACTGAATTTAACGGAATTAAATGGAATTAAACTGAATTTAAAATGAATTAAACGGAATTAAACTGATTTAAACCGAATTAAATGGAATTAAACTGATTTAAACTGAATTTAATCGAATTAAACTGAATTAAACTGAATTTAAACTGATTTAAACTGAATTAAATTGAATTTAAACCGAATTAAATGGAATTAAACGGAATTAAACGGAATTTAAACGGAATTAAACGGAATTAAATGGAATTAAACTGAATTTAAACTGAATTAAATTGAATTTAAACTGAATTAAATGGAATTAAACCAAATTAAACGGAATTAAACTGAATTTAAACGAATTAATAAATAAAATAAATCAAATTAGAAATAAAATGAGAATTCCTGACAATTCACATCCTCACACACCAGCACTGACATTTCTTATTATTTTAATTTAATTTAATTTGATTTAATTTAATTTAAAGGTTCCAATTCCACATCCTCACACACCAGCACTGACATTTCTTATAATTTAATTTAAGTTAATTTGATTTAATTTAATTTAAAAAGGGAAAAAAAGGGGAAAAAGGAAAAAAAAAAAACAGGGAAAAAAGGAAAATAGAAGGAAAAAGAAAGGAAAAAAATGGGGGAAAAAAGGGGAAAAAAGGGGAAAATGGAATAGAAGAAAAATGAAAGAAAAAATGGGGGAAAAGGGGAAAAATAAGGGGGAAAAAAAGGGGGAAAAAAAGGGGGAAAAAAGGGAAATAGAAGAAAAAAAAAAGGAAAAAAAGGGGGAAAAAAAGGAAAAAAAGGAACCAGAATTAAAAAGAAAGGAAAAAAAAACGGAAAAAAGGAAGGAAAAAAGGGGAAAAGGAAAATAAAAGGAAAAAGAAAGAAAAAAGGAAAAAAGGGGGAAAAAGAAAGAAAAAAGGAAAAAACGGGGAAAAAAGGGGGGAAGGGAATAGAAGGGAAAAGAAAGGAAAAAAGGGGAAAAAAGGGAAAAAAAGGGGGGAAAAGAGAAAAAAAAGGAGGAAAAAGAAAGAAAAAAGGGAGGAAAAAGAAAGAAAAAAGGAAAAAAAAAGGGAAAAAGGGGAAAAAAGGAAATAGGAGGAAAAAGAAAGAAAAAAAATGGGGAAAAAAGGGAAAAAAAGGGAAAAAAGGGGGAAAAAAAGGGAAATAGAAGAAAAAAGAAAGGAAAAAAAAAGGGGAAAAAAGGAACCAGAATTAAAAAGAAAGGAAAAAAAAAATGGAAAAAAGGAAGGAAAAAAGGGGAAAAGGAAAATAGAAGGAAAAAGAAAGAAAAAAGGGAGGAAAAAGAAAGAAAAAAGGAAAAAAAAGGGAAAAAAGGGGAAAAAAGGAAATAGAAGGAAAAAGAAAGAAAAAAAAAGGGGAAAAAAGGGAAAAAAAGGGAAAAAAGGGGGAAAAAAAGGGAAATAGAAGAAAAAAGAAAGGAAAAAAAGGGGGAAAAAAAGGGGGGAAAAAAGGAACCAGAATTAAAAAGAAAGGAAAAAAAACGGAAAAAAGGAAGGAAAAAAGGGGAAAAGGAAAATAGAAGGAAAAAGAAAGAAAAAAGGAAAAAAAGGGGAAAAAGAAAGAAAAAAGGGAAAAAGGGGGAAAAAAGGGGGGAAGGGAATAGAAGGGAAAAGAAAGGAAAAAAGGGGAAAAAGGGAAAAAAAGGGGGGAAAAGAGAAAAAAAAGGAGGAAAAAGAAAGAAAAAAGGGAGGAAAAACAATTTAAAAAGGAAAAAAAAAGGGAAAAAAGGGGAAAAAAGGAAATAGGAGGAAAAAGAAAGGAAAAAAATGGGGGAAAAAGGGAAAAAAAAGGGAAAAAAGGGGGAAAAAAGGGAAATAGAAGAAAAAAGAAAGGAAAAAAAATGGGGGGAAAAAGGGAAAAAAAAGGGGGGAAAAGTGGAATTTTCTTTGGGATCAGGAGAGACCAAACCCATCCCAAACAGGGCCAGGCCAGGGGGGAAAATCCGAATATTTTTGATTTGGGTTTTGATATCAAAAGGGGATTAAAGTGGGCGGGGCCGCGCTCACCTCCATGAAGGAAATTCCCAGGCTCCAAACGTCCGAGTGGATGCTGTACTGCTCCCCTGAAATCCGCTCGGGCTGGCAAGAAAATTAATTATTATTAATTAGAAACATTAATTAGAGTTAATGAAAATGAATTTAAAGGGTTCGGAAATTATTCCGGAGTTTGGCGGGGTAAGGAGGGGAAAGGTGGAAAGGAAAAAAGGGGGAAAATGGGAATAAAGGGGGGAGAAAAAGGGGAAAGGAAAAAAGGAAAAAAGGGAAAACAAGAAAAACAAAAGGAAAAAAGAAAAAAGAAAAAAAGAAAAAACAAAGAAAAAAGTAATACAAAAAAAAGAGAAAAAGAAAGAAAAACAAAAGAAGAAAAAAGAAAAAAGGAAAAAAAGAAAAAAAGGGAAAAAGGGATAAAAGGGGAAAAAAGAAAAAAGAAAAAAAGAAAAAACAAAGAAAAAAGAAAAAAGTAATACAAAAAAAAGAGAAAAAGAAAGAAAAACAAAAGAAGAAAAAAGAAAAAAGGAAAAAAGAGGGAAAAAAGAAAAAAGAAAAAAAAGGAAAAAATGGAAAATAGGGGAAAAAAAGAAAAAAGGAAAAAAGAGAAAAAGAAAAGGAAAAAAGAAAAAAGAAAGAAAAACAAAAGAAAAAAGAAAAAAAAGAAAAAAGGGAAAAAAGGGGGGAAAAAAGAAAAAAGGAAAGAAGAAAAAAAGAAAAACAAAAGAAAAAAACAAAGAAAAAAGAAAAACAAAAAAAAAGAAAAAAAGAAAGAAACCAAAAGAAAAACAAAAGAAAAAAGAAAAAGAAAGAAAAAAGAAAAAGAAAGCAAATCAAAAGAAAAAAGAATAAAAAAAGAAAAACAAAGAAAAAACAAAGAAAAAAGAAAACAAAACAAAAAAAAGAAAAAAGAAAGAAAAACAAAAGAAGAAAAAAAGAAAAAAGAAAAAAAGGGGAAAAAAGAAAAAAGGAAAAAAGAAAAAAAGAAAAACAAAAGAAAAAACAAAGAAAAAAGAAAACCAAAAAAAGAAAAAAGAAAGAAAAACAAAA